GCAGCGGGGAATGATGCCAAGAGCTGCCCTCTGTAGGCTCAGGATGCTCGGAGCTGTGTGATCTGGGCAAAATTGACACATATAACCATGTGTGCATTTTTAATTGTCCCAAATGACTTATTTGTCTAGCATAGCTTACATATGTGGGCGGCATCACAGAAGACAGTCACGTTTGGAACCTTGGGCCCTTGGATGTTTCTGGCAAACCATCAGTCAACCCAACGCAATTTCTTCCCTTGATGCTCCTTTGCTCTTCCCTCCAACAAAGGCTTAATTCCCATTGGGCTCATTCCTATGCATCATCCTTCTATGCACTGAGCATCTACTATGTGCCAGAGATAGATCACATGGTGGGGGGAGGCACAGGTCCTGATCTCAAGGAAATTACCATCTAATGCTCCTTCTGTACTCTTTTACTCACTGGGGACAGGGGAGCAACATTTGGGAAGCTATTTGGGGAGCAGATTGTGCATGCCAAGAGGTCTAGAATGAGCGATTTGAAACTCAAAGTTTCAGTCCAGCTGTGGGTTTCCAGAAGTTCTGGAGGCTTTAAGAAGCCTTTGTTAGTAATGCACTTAAAACAACAAAATGATATTTTTACCTAACATATTGCCAAAGTTGTTCTTAAAGACAAGATTTGGTCTCGGCAAAGGCTCGCTCGAAATTAACAATATTATCCCTTGCTGGCAGGAATGTAGTTTGGAAAAAAAAATCAATGAGGCTTGTTTGACATACATATCAAACACAGAAAATGAAGAGTCACCTTTGACCCAATAATGGTACTAATCCAAGAGCAGAATGATAAGAAGCCTAATCTAATACGGTGATGGTGAGATAAAGAAGACAGCCTCAAGAAATGTCCATTCCAAGCAGGTGCCATAAAAACCATTACCAGCAACCCTGGGGATCAGGGAGGATGGGGAAGAGTTGAATGTGGTTCTGTAGGCTCTTGCCTGAGCAACTAGGTCTATGAAGATGCTTTTAAATTAAAGCAGTTAGAGCAAAGAGAGGAGCAAATTGCAAGAGGGCAATTAAAGTTAACTGTTGGACGTTTGGGAATACGGAACACTGAGGGAAATGTCTGCAGGACACTAATGAAAAGCCTAACTGGATAGGAAGGCTGCTGGAGATGGAATTTGGGGAATACTTGTGTCTAAAGGAAACTGAGTTGTCAAACTCGAAGTCATGTTAGAAAATGTAGTGAATGAAGCGAGTTGGAATGTATGAGTATGTAGAGTATGTACTGGATTGGAGGAGAATAGGGTCAGGGGAAAGATTCCTATCTGTTCAAGTTTTGTACCGGAAGTGGTTAGAGCAGACTTTCAAGCTAAACGAAAGCACTCACAGCAGAAAAGAGAAGACAAACTTAAGCAGGGGTAGGGTTGCCAGGGTTTAAAAACAATAAACCCAGAACGTCCAAGTAAATTTGAGCCTCAGATAAACTGGATGAGTGTTCTAGCATAAGTATGTCCTCATGCAGTATTCAGGGCGTGGCTATACTGCAAGGTTTGTTCACTATCTGAAACTCTAAGTTCACCTGCGCTTTCCAGGCATCCCTGTGCACTGGGAGGACAAAGGACAAAGGAAAGCATGCAGAAAGAAGACAAGGTTACCTCTGCTGTGAGAGAAGGCAGGAAACAAAGGACAGAAGGAAGAGAAAGCTACGGTGAGGAGCGTTGAGGCCACGCCTCCCACTGCCCTACAGGGAAGAAAAGCTTTACAGAAAGTGGGTGTGTCAATAGTCAACATGAGGATCTACGAAAGGAGGTAGAGTTTTGCAGTATCAATGGATACCAGGGAGGTAGAAGGGAGACTAACCAGAAGGCTTCCAGGAAGAACTGAAGTCAACCAGAGAGAGACTCAGGGCCTCCTAGGCTATGCTATCAGGATGGCATTTCATTCTTATCAGGTCGTGTGTGTGTGTGTGTGTGTGTGTGTGTGTGTGTGTGTGTGTGTGTGTGTGTGTAACATGCATGAAAGGAGTGGGAGTGGGAGGGAGAAGACAAACTTGGAGAAGTGATTTTTTTTTAAGGAGGTGAAAGAGAACACTTCAGGGTGGTTTCCTGGCATCTGACCTAAACAAATGAGTAGCAAAGAACAGAGGCAAAGGAAAACAAAAGGAGGAAGCAGCTGAGCTGGAGGGGCCCTGAGAACCACAGGGGACAGAGACAGCATGGGTCCCTTCCTACCCATTCTTCAGGCATCTCCCTACCAGCACTTCACATTCAGTCCGAACTCCTCAACAATGCTTCAGGGAGGATGTTATTATCCCTGTGTGACAGGATAATATTTGGAATTATTCATTGATTTTCTGTTTTGCACTGGGTAGTTTGCTTTTTTCTTTTTCTTTTTTCACTTAGTCACCACTCCCAATTCAAGCAGCTGGACCAGTCAATACTCATCACATTGGGGGGCCGATGAAACAGGCAGACAGTAGAGAAAAGAATAGAGGAGAGGTTCCGGTATTCTATTGCAAAAAAATTTGGTGTTCTTATAAAACTCAAAAGGACCTTGGGCAGAGGTTAAATGTTTGTGTGGAATCTAAGAGCACAGGTTTCCCTGGAGACTGGAAAAATTACTTGTAGTTAGAGAAAAGGCAGACACAGGGAGGGATGATACAATGGATGCTGCTGGGCCCCAGAGAGGGCATCATATGTCTATTGACAAGCAGAGCCCAGGGAGGCACAAGGCTTCCAGGAAAGAAATGGACGATGGGTCAAGACAATGGTACCCCAGCAACAGGAAGGAATTCCATGCCCCAGTGTCACCCAAAAACAACAAAATTATTGCAGGAGCTTCATGAAAGAACAGAAAGAGAAGCAGGGGACCTGCTTTGAGCCACAGGGACAGGAGCAAGGGATATACCTTAGCGGTACCTGAAGTTAACAGGTGGCCAAGATTCAGATGGGTCCAAGGGCATTGTGCTAGATTTGGGTGGACGGGTGGTAGCAGAGGGAAAATCCACTTTCCAGGACTTTGACACTAGAGGACACAAGCAGGGGTGAAAAGGCTCACTCATTGGCTGGAAAACACGGACAACATAAAGCAACTTTATAGCATACAGAAAGTCCAGTTGTCAGAAATTTTCGGAAGCTATATGTTGTAGATGTAACCAACCGTCTTATTAAATAAGAAACACAGAAACAATGTAAAAGAGAAAGCCGAGAGGTCAGAGCTCAGAGCTAAAATCTCACCC